AAAAAAAAAAAAAAAAAAAAAAAAAAAAAATCCGAAACCTCTTATTTTGTAGCAACAATACCAGAATTATAAAGTTCTATCTTATTAATAGAGAATATCTCATTGATAAGAGTATTATATAGTTTTAATAGAAGATAAAAAAAATCATAGTGAAATGGACTTTTTTTGAACCAAAATAGAGAGGAATACATTACTTTTGATAAGAAGGAAGTCAATCAATATCCTATTAAGATTTTGGCAATCAAGATGAATGTTTTTTTTTTTTTTTTTACAGAAAGAAAATAAAAAATTTGGAATCCTGAATGTGAACAGTACTTGTGAACAATAGCACGATTTTTTTTCTTCAACAAGGGCAGAGAACAAAATGAAAAAAAATTGCCGTTTCTTATGCTAAACCTCTTTCAATTGTGCTGTTCCAACGAAATTTGGGAGGAAAATAAGAAGTTATTTTGGATTGTATGAGAGAAAGTACCCAAGATTTGGCTTTGATACCAATTTTGATGCAGCACCAATAAGATGATTAATAAAAAAAGGCGACAGATTCAAAAAGAATAAGGAATTGTGGGGAGGGGGCGGGGGAGAATAAGAATTTAACAGAAGAAGGCCGAAGAGGGAGAGGGATGCACCATAAGCGATCAAAATAATTATTCATTCATCAACTGAAAAATTACAATGCAAAATAGGTTTAAATGGTAAAGGAACTCTAACGAGATTGGGCCCGAGCCCATACAAGTCTAATTCTCTAAATAATAGTCCAAGAAAATAAATAAAACTTAACTAGAAAATAAAATAAATAAATATCCGATGTCCTCATCACATATAGCTTGCAAGAAAGATTATAGCAGCCAAGTTAATGTCATGCAAGATCATTTCACTCATTTGAAGGGCCAAGTTATTTTGATTTAGTAGCTAGTCCGTAAGTTTTTCATGCATTACTCTCTAGATTCTATATTACTCAAGTCTAATTTCATTGATGTGGAGCTACTTTCTATCAGGATAATGTGGGCTCCGTGATGTGGAACGGAATATCCTGAAGCCATGATGCATGATTGGCCAGTCTCAAGAACAACGCTTAAAAAATTCCATCTTCAAGCAGTAGGTAAGTAAATGGTTTCATTTTGTTGGAACGCAAGACAGTTTTATCTGGGAATATAAGAATTGTCTTTGTAGTTGATAATAAAAACTCTTTCTCTACTCAGTTTCTCTATTAAGTGTATATTTGCTCTTTAATTGATGAAAAACGCACCAGGGGTGTCTGCATCTGCTTCATTGCTGGCTGTTCGGCCGTGATGTTAGCAGGTCAGGCTGAGAAAGTCCCTTTGAACCTGAACAGGATAATTCCTGCGTAGGGAGAGTGCATTTTCTTTTCTGTGCTTGCACAGGGCAGGAAATTCATCTGTGGTTCGGGCTAGGAGAGGTGTTCAGCTCAGAGGGTGGAATTATTATTTTTATCATCCGGCCACGAAGCAGATACAACTAACAACTTTTAACGTCGCTAGTCAACTGTCCACTGTTTGGTATAGATGAATTCGATAGTAGTAAAAATAAGTTAAAATCTTGTTAATATACCGTGCGCCAAATAGTAGGAAAAGTTGACTGCTCTCTGAAGTATATGAAGTTTGAATTATGATGGTAGGAGATAATTAACCGACTCCTGAATATTATTTTACGATGTTGAGTTGATAAATGGATAATATTTGGAATCCTCAATATCTATATTTGTATGATAGAGTTGTGGTTTCTCGACAAATAATCCTATTAAATTTTGGTACAAGTTTCATGTGTATAACACGATAAATTTATTGTCATCGAGTCAAGTTCAAATCAGATGCTACAACTCTATTTCATTATGTAGGTTGAGACTAACTTTATATTAAATCCTACAACACTGTTAGATATGCTCTTATGAACGTGTATGAAACATATTGTGTGCGTGGATACAAGCTTTGGCGGCTGAATTGATAGATTTTCGACGTTACTCGGTGGTCTCCACATATCTGATGCAACAAAATTAGTCAAAAGTGGTGTCGATTGTGAGAGAATATTTCTTAATAATTGTGAATTGAAACTGCACCTTCCAAGTGGGTAATGTTTAATCTAATGAAGTGTCTGCGGATTTATCATAGATAGGTTTTGAAAAGTTAAAAAACTCAAAGTAAAAAATAAATTTTAATTAAGTATTTTATGGAGTTAAATATCTTTTTAATCACATATTTCAATAATTTTTTTTCAAAATTTACTAAAAAAATTGATTTTAACCCTTATCAAATAAGGGTTAGGAAATTATTTTTGAATATATTTCGATAATATGTTGAAAGTATTTTATATGATTAAAAGAGTTTTTTAAAGAAAATTAGAATCTTCTATGAAAAATAGAAACTTTACCGAACAATTATTTATTGTTGCATAACTGAAATAAATGGTTTTCCTCCGTCTTAAGTAAGGATTATTATGAATAAATGCCTGATGGACTGTTTAAAAGAAGAAAAAAAAAATCCCAAAAAAAAAAAAAAATAATAATAATAATAATAAAAAATTAAATTAAATAAAAATTGGAAATCGTTGTGCATGAAAACAAATGCAGAGTATTGATACGTTGAATAGTCAAACTGGCGCCGAAGATTGTCTCAATTATATTCTCACCAATTCATGTCGCGTTGTTGGTGCCGTATGTTTTGTCTCATATAGTCTCTCACATGGCACAAATGGATGTGCCTGTCTCCGCCGCCGCCCATTCCAGTGTCTGTCTGCGTACATGGCCGCCACCAGGAGCGGATACGGAAAAAAATTGAGCTATGCTACAATGACGTAGGAGATTTACAAAGTTAAGTTACAAAATCAAATTTACACCAATCATTTCAAAAATAGATTTTTAAATCATTTGAAATTAAGGGTCCAACCAAATTTTGCCAACGCACTTTGACACTTCACTTTTATACACCAACTTTGTAGGAGTAGAATTAATCAAAAAAATTTAGGATGGACTAACACATAAAAAAAGGAAAAAAAAAGAAAAATTATGTGTGAATTTTTTGTTTTTTGTTTTTTTTTATTTAACATTTGGACGGGAAGGACGGGCTATAGCATAGATCGATCGTCCCTAGATCCTCCCTTGACTGCCGGTGCCACCGTCTCCACCACCTCAATTATTTAATTGATAAATTATGAAGATAACTACTAGGGACATATTAGATTTGACAGTAAGAATGCATTTGAAATTGATCATGACCTAATTAGTGATAAGAGTTTTGTCAAAGAAGCAGTTCGCATGATAATTGATGACAAGGCCACATCAAGTTTATTTACGTCTAATAAAATGTGTTTTTTCATAATATAATTTTTTTTTAATTGCTTAAAATTTGAACAAGTTAACGGTTATAGTTTCACCTTACTTTCATAATCTCGAGTTTTGACTTTTCAAAATTGTTGCCCAGCTAAAGAAGTCGACTAATCGCTATCACTAAACTGGACCAAATGTTAAAATTCTTGGGCCACTGCCAATATTGAGAATTCTTGTTCTGTTATCTCACTCATGTTTTATTTAAAGAGCCCTACCACTCAAACGGGGACTAGGGATAGACTTTTAACAAAGGGCTAAGGTGGATGCACCTGAGCCCTTGATTTGAATTTCGGACAATTGATTAGTCGTTTTCAAGCTTGATAGAAAAGTATATCAGAAACAGGAATTTCATCGTTAGGCTTCTCTGCAGGTGGAACTACACAAGCTGTCTACACAAAGAGTTTGGCCTCTGGCCCGCGAAGTCACTCACAACGGAGAAAAGAACCCGTCCCAATTCAAGGAAAATGCATTTCATTACTTTTTTACTACAGATTAGTGTTTACTTACTAGTAATGATGAATATCATCATTTGTGTATAAATCCTACCCCCCCCCCCCCTTTTTTATTATTATCAAAGGTTTAAGAATCTTGAAAACTGAGCCAAATCACTATCATGGTGTCAACTTGTTGGATGAATTTTGTGAATAGTGACGCTGAAATAAGTATAATGATGGTGACAAAGCCGAGGCAAGAGTTGGACTCTTTGTCCTTAAGTCGAATTTGCCCCGCAACGGTGCCTACGGATTTCGGCAATCGACTCCCAAGATACAACGGCTACACTTGTGTTTGTAGCACTCCAAAACACAAGTACAACGAACCAATTTAGGCTTATGTACTCCAAGGATGAAATGAAAGAAAATCAAAATAAACGAAATGATTTTGATTTTGGATAGAAGAGAGGATGAGAAACGTTTTGCATATCAAACTGTGAGGAATAGGACACCCAAAGGGTCCTATTTATAGACCATGAAGGGGTGTGGACGAAATGGTTGAGACCAAACCATGCACCATTTCCAAACAATGCACCTTTATGAAAAGGTGTCTATTCACTAATGGTTGAGGTCTTTTTCCCAATTTCTCATTCATCCGATATTGGTTTTCGAAATGCCAAATATACCCTTCAATACATGCAGAGAAATCAAAAATTCTCTTTCGGGGGCGTTGCCCCCGCCCCCCCACGAGGGGCGCTGCCCCCTCGACCCTCGCGACCTGACCGGGCAGGTCGATCCCCGTTTGTGCGCCCCGAAGCGGCGAAGTGGCAAACAATTTTGCCTAAACGGATTGAGTCGAGCTTTTGAGTATTTGGCCGAATTCGATACGAACTTTAATCGATTTTCAATTCTCAATTTATTTAACCAATATCCAACACAACTCACTCACAAATAATTTCATAACATAGAATTGGTGACATAAAATCAGCTCTAGTCATTTCACGTGTAAAATTCCATCCATTTACTATTTCAGTCAAGCCTATGATCATTTATTGAAAATGTATGTTAACAATCCTAGTCATTTATATTAACTTCACGTTAAGAACCATTATTTTACAGAATTTAACAGATACCAGATAAATTTCACATGTTTTCATGTGTGTTGTAACAAGATTTTTTGCATTGTCACTATAATTTTTAGGTGATGTGATGACATGAGAAATTGATCATCACAAACTGAGCATGAAATCGAAGTCCGAACATCTCGGTGATATCAGCAAAAGGAGACAGAAATATATCTGATTATTTTTCCGACATTTGAATTAGTATTTGTATAAACTTCACAAAAAGAATTAAATGAGAGAGTGTACGTTATACGTACATACTAAAGCGAGACTTATCGGGTTAGTAATCTATGAGAAGGCTAACACAATTTGAGATGACATTTTCTCTCAATCATTTTTCTTATTTTTTTCATTGTTTTGGTTTTTTAATGAAAAAGTAACAAATAATGTGACATTTTAAATACAAGCAAAATATCGATAAGATCATTGCTGGTCTGAGATAGGTTCAATATGTGACTTTTTTTTTGATAAAAACTTACATAAAACGTGACATTATAAACAAGATTATAATTTGTGATATGGTGGCATGCGTGACTTTTGATGAAGTAACATAAAATGTGATTTTTAGACGTATTCATATTTTTCATATTATAAATTTTAGGTGTAAAATCAAAATTCCCCATATTCTAATATCATATTTTGGGTTTATAACACAATCCATCATAGTTTCTAATTGGACCAGTCCGGTTGGACCGATTTTGAGAACGAACTTTTTGTAGGTTTTTCATTCCTTGTTAGTAGATATTGTTCTTATCATGAAGTATTCTGGTGCAGCTACTTGTAAAAATAATAAAAGAAATTAGTAACTGTAAACAGACTTCCTTTGATGTGCCCTATATGGTTTTAGTCCCATAGTTTTTATTTTCATGTTTTAGTTAGACTGAGTTTATTGCATGTTTGGCTCGTGTTAATACATTGTTTAAATTATAAATAAATAAAATAAGGGATGAATAAGTGGATAATTCTTGTCAATTTCTCGAAATGTACGGATAATAATTGACGTGAGTGTTTATAAACAATTTACAGACATGAGAAAATATAAGCTCAGGGAACTTCTTGTTTTTAATAGTATCAAGATGGTCTTGGCTCCCGTATATGTTATAAAGTTTAATACATCTTAATATCGTTATTTAAGCTTTTTTATATGCCTTTAATTGAAAGATAAGAAAAGAGAGAGAAATCTTAATAATATAGAAAATTTATAGTTTAGATATTTACACTCTTTGGATTTTATTTTGATAAAAATTAACTTATATTTACTTCCAATTTACCCCTAGTTGGATTTTACATTCAACTTTTTTTTTTTTAATATTTTTATTTTAAGTTCAACGTGTTGAACTGGAAAAAAAAAATGTAACTTTTAAAAAAGTTTAAGCATCTCTGAAAAAATTGGTTACATATGAAAGAACTTTATAACTTAGACATACATGCTCTAACCTAGGTTAGAAGCAATAACCACCTCTCGTTGTAAAGAAATTATTCTCGCAAAAGGGAAAATAAACAATTTTTCGTGCTTCTTTCCTTTCACCTTTTACTTTCAATGATGTTCTCTTCAATGCAAAAAATGGGACTTGGACTCTTTATAGGAATCTAGAGTAGTTCATTGTCTTTAGGTCAACACTTGAGATCAAGTTTTGAAAAATTGATTTGAAGAGACCTTGTTCCTTATTGAAAAATTTACACCACTCTTTTCGACATGGTGGACATGGTGATCGAAGAATAGTAAATAGTAATTACATTTAACATGGATCACCATTTGGATCAATTGGGTTTATGATCCACATTAGGAAAAAAATTAATGTTTCCTTACTTTCACGTGGAAAATATTGTTTCCTTATCTTCACATAATTTTATTGGAAATATATTATTTCCTTATTTCACATTATTTCCATCTTTATGGTATGGTATGTATCTATAAATAGTGACATCTTCTTTCGGTTTAGTTCAAACCAAAATTGTTGTATTGTAATTTTCTCTTCATATCGTCATTATAATAAAATATCGTTTTCTCTGCTTAACTCTCGTTATTTTTATTCTTTTAACCTTGTTTCATTGTGATCTTCGTTACTTCATATTGTTCCGTTAAATCTTAGTTCTTACAACTCTTTGGAATCAACAAGTGGTATCAGTGCTTGGTTATTTGTGAATTGTTTGAGGTTTTTTAGAGATGACTGCCATAAAGTATGACATTCCGCTGCTGGATCGCAGTACAAGGTTTTCTTTGTGGCAAGTAAAGATGAAGGTTAATTTGACATAGTCAGATTTGGATGATGCAATGCTGAGTTTTGACAAGATACTAGTTGAATGGACAATGGAGGAGAAATGGCGAAAGGATAGGAAGGTTTTCTCACAGATTCATCTTCATTTATCCAATAATATTTTGCAGAATGTCTTAGAGGAGAAAACAGTGGTAGCTTTGTGGTTGAAATTGGAGTAGTTGTTCATGACTAAAAGTCTCACTATCAAATTGGCTTTAAAGCAAAAGCTCTATTCCTATCGCATAGCAAAATGAGGGTCACTGGAAGATCATATTGCTGTGTTCAAGAAAATAGTTATAGATTTAGAGACATTAGAGGTTAAGTATGAAGAGGATGATCAGGCCTTGATCATATTTTGTTCGATGCCCATCTCTTATTTATTGTTTCAGGACACGATCTTGTACAGTCGTGATACTTTGACCATTGAGGATGTCTACGATACTCTGCTCTCAAAGGAGAAGATGAAGTATTTGGTTGGATTTATATCGAGGGATGATGAAGCTCTGGTATCTTACGATGATCGATGGAGGGGTAGATCGAGAATGAATTTCAGCAATTTGTATTGCTTCTACTGCAGGAGAAAATGACATGTTAAGAAAGATTACGATAAGTTGCAGGCTAAAGATAATTTAGTTGCAAATCATAGGAAGCAATCATGTAATTCAGATGAGACTAATATTACCGAGGATTTTTCGGATGGCGGTGATGTGATGTTGACCATGATATTTGACGTGGAATCTAAACCTGACGAGAAATGGATTCTAGATTCGTCATGTTTGCATCATATGTGTTCAAATCGAAATTTCTTTCAAACATATAAGGCTGTCAAGCAAGGTAAAGTTGTGATGGGAATCGATCAAGTCAAATTAAGGTTACAGGATGAGACGATTAGAACAATTGATCAGGTTTGATATGTTCTAGACCTGAAAAGGAATCTCATCTCGCTGAGTACCCTGGATGTAAAAGGGTATAATTTCTTTGGTGGAGGTGGAGTTTTGAAAGTTTGAAAGGGTGTTCAGGTTGTACTGGAGGGACGGAAGAAGTCTCAATTGTACATCTTGTAGGAAATCGCAGAACCAGTTAAGAGACGTCCGGATAAGTTCGGTACCGTGATCGATATTCAGTTTGGTACAGTACCTCTTGTGATGAGCTTTAGGTCCGTTTAGAATTTTGCTCAGGGGAGCATTAGTGATTTCGCTTTGCCACTAATTTCAGCGAATACACTGTATTCAGTTGCTAGGGTTGGACTCATGTAGCGTAGGTACAGTGGTGTCAATGATGTCTGTAATGCTTTCAAGATCGTTGAAGGTGACAATTCTAGCAAAAGGCCTTCTGATAAGGCATTTGGTGTGGTTTCTATCACAGGATGTGCTTCGACCCTATTTGGTCAACAATGATTCCTTGGTGAAATTTTGGGAACCGAGAGTTAGGTTCGGGTGTCGCTTGTGGATGCCGGACAGAGGAAGATTTTTTTTTTTTTTTTTGTGACAGAGAGCTTTGGTTAATGTTTTCGATTATTTTGATGCAGTTTGACGTATTATTCTAGGTGGAGAAATTTTGGAGTTTCATTTGTTGCACCAGAATTTGAGTCAAGGTGGAGATTGTTGGGTTTATGACCCAAATTAGAGTAAAAAATGGTTTTCTTATTTTCATGTAGAAAATATTGTTTCCTTATCTTCACGTGATTTTGTTGAAAATATATTATTTTCTTATTTCACATTATTTTCATCTTTATGGTATGGTATGTATCTATAAATAATGATATCTTCTTTCGGTTTAGTTCAAGCCAAAATTGCTTCATATAACTCTCATTTATTTCTTTACCCCTAATCTTATTTTATTGTTGTGATCTTCGTTATTTCATAATGCTTCATTAAATCTCAGTTCTTACAAATCCTTAGAATCAACAGGATCCACTTATTTTTCATGTTGGTCATCAAAATGAGCTTATAACTAGTTTTCAAGGTCTTGAACATAAAGCCACAAAAAGGCTTTGGGTTAAGCACATGATCGAGTACGAGGGTTGAATACTAGNTTTTTTTTTTTTTTTTTTTTTGTGACAGAGAGCTTTGGTTAATGTTTTCGATTATTTTGATGTAGTTTGACATATTATTCCAGGTGGAGAAATTTTGGAGTTTCATTTGTTGTACCAGAATTTGAGTCAAGGTGGAGATTGTTGGGTTTATGACCCAAATTAGGAAAAAAATGGTTTTCTTATTTTCATGTAGAAAATATTGTTTCCTTATCTTCACGTGATTTTGTTGAAAATATATTATTTCCTTATTTCACATTATTTCCATCTTTATGGTATGGTATGTATCTATAAATAATGATATCTTCTTTCGGTTTAGTTTAGGCCAAAATTGCTTCATATAACTCTCATTTATTTCTTTACCCCTAATCTTGTTTTATTGTTGTGATCTTCGTTATTTCATAATGCTCCATTAAATCTCAGTTCTTGCAACTCCTTAGAATCAACAGGATCCACTTATTTTTCATGTTGGTCATCAAAATGAGCTTAAAACTAGTTTTCAAGGTCTTGAACATAAAGCCACAAAAAGGCTTTGGGTTAAGCACATGATCGAGTACGAGGGTTGAATACTAGGGTTTAACTGTTGTCAGTCAGTGAATGAAATTAAATTCATATAATATAAAATAATAAAAGTACCTTAAAAATCTTGAAACCAAATAGACTCCGTCGTCTATATCTATATCCAAGAAACACCACCACATTGTGAGCTCAGCTCCCTAAACCTTTTCTTCCTCCAAAACCCCACCCACCCCCACCCCCACTCGCTGTCTCTTTCACACAAATAAACAGTTCGATCGCCCAAATTTAGATCTTGGATGTGTTTATATTTCTTGTTTTTTTTTTTTTTTTCTGAATTGTTTATTTCGAGTGTGTTTAAAGTTTCAACTGATGGCTTGTTCTGATCAATTCTTCTCTTCCAAAGATGCTGATTTGGAGAGTCTCAATTAGTGCTTGTTTTAAGTTCTTTCATGATCGATTATTGTAGCTGATCCAGCAGTAAAAGATAAGGTTAATTAATGCCAGAATCTGAGCCGATAGATTTTCTACATAAAATCCATGGAATCACCAGCAGCTGCTTTTGGTTTTTTTGCTATTTTATCTTTCACTTTTTCGGTGATTTGATATATTTCAATAGAAGGGAAAACAATAAAAAAGAAAATAGGGTAGTTTGTTTTTGTTTGTTTGTTTGTTTTTTTGTTTTTTTTTGTTTTTTGTTTTTTTTGTTTTTTTTTTTTTTTTTTTTTCTTTTTCTTTGTTTTTTTCTTTTTCA